CTCTCTCTCTCTCTCTCTCTCTCTCTCTCTCTCTCTCTCTCTCTCTCGTGTGTAGGCATGTCCAGGCCACTACAAATGTGTTGTGGTCAAAGGACAGCATGGGGCTATTCTTTCCTCTCACCGGTGGGTTCCAGGAATTGAACTCAGGTCCTTAGACTTGGTTACAAATACCCTCATGTTCTGAATCATTTCATTGGCCCTTGACTTTTTCCTTATCTACAATAAGATTAGTCCTAGACTCTTGGTAGGGGTTAAATCAAGAAGGAGACTTGCAGTCTTTGGACTTAAGACTAAAAATACCATGAAAGAATGCTATATTTATAAAATCCAGCCTGAACTAGAATCAACTCAGAACTGTAACATGAGGGGCCGGCTTGTTGGAGTTTCTGTCCCGCCCGGTACCCCACAACTGGCAACTCCCAAGGAAAATCACACACAGGACTCCATAAGATTATAAACTGATTGGCCCTTTAGCTCAGGTTTCTTGTTAACTCTTATAGCTTATATTAACCCATTATTCTCATCTATGTTAGCCATATGGCTTGGTACCTTTTTCAGCTGTCAGCTTACATGTTGCCTCTTCGGTGGTCTGGGCAGGAATGAGAGGAATCAACTTCCTCCTCAGAATTCTCCTGCTCTCCTTGCATCATTTCCACTTCTGTCTGGTTTTCCCGCCTACACCTCCTGCCTAGCCAATCAGCGTTTATTTAAAACATGATTGACAGAATACAGAGAATTCTCTCACACCATAGAACCTCTATAAAGATGGTCAAAGATAGATTACCGGGAGAGGGCAGGATGAATGAAGTATTGCTGAGACAGAAGAGGACCTGAGAGAGGACAGAGACCCAGACAACTGTCATCTCTAACCCAGACAATTGTTCACAGGGGCAGTGTGATTTCACAAGAAAGCACACACTGGTGAGTGCTAGCTCTCTTATGGAAACTATAAACTAAATTCTTGTAGAAACTGAAACTTTTCCACTTTGGTACTTAGCCCTTTGAAGGGGACACACCTGTTAGCCTTGTTTATTTTCCTCACCTTGACCTCTGGGGTAGGCCCTGCTGTATCAGCAGGGGGAAGGCACCCCTGAAAGCTTCCACTTCATCTGACAGACCTCATGCTTAAGCTTCTCTGGAGATGCTCTCTTAAGAGTGCTGACATGTGTCTTTCTTTCAAAGCATAGAAACAGTTGTACCTTCACATGTCTTGAAAAAATAACCCCCCTGTTTGTGCCCAGAAGGCACCAAGTGTGCCAAAGCCGCTGGAAGTGGATCAAACAGAATCTCACATCTCAGACAAAATGAGACATTCCTGAAAACCCTTTCTCACGGCACCTGAAGATTTGCAGATCCCTAAAATAAAACAGTGTATAGGGGGTCCTATTCTGCATGGGACACCCAGAATTCCAGCTGCCTGTTTCTTTATCAGAGTTTATCTGATCCATTTCCAAGGAGTCAAGGACGTGTGAGTCTGCAGCAACTCACAAAGGGAAAATGGCTGCCTAATTACCCAGAAGAATATCCTTGAGCTGCCTCTGTAATGGCTTGTGGTCCTTTGCTCATGATCCATGAATACCAAAACAATTGAAAGTGAAATCAAACTGCAAAACAAACTACAGTGGGACCCCTGGTCACAATAAGGCATGACTGTGAAATAATTATTTGACTGCATCACCCTTCTTCACTGACTCCAGAGGTAGTCTTCATTTCCATAGCTCGGGTACCACTCTCTAAGACTTGAGAGAAAAGTGTAATTTAATTATTGTCTTTACTTTATCATGTGTGAACTATTCAGCCAAAGAGAATAAATGCCACAGAATGTCCTCCTTGATCTGTTCAGCTGTTTACACCCCTGCCACCCCCAGCCTGGGGTTCACTTTCCATAGTGACAACTTCATGCTGTAAAAGAAATGTTGGCTTAGGACTCAGATTTCTGTAATTCTCACTACCCCTGTCTCCCCAGGAAGGACCATTTCATTTCTATATCTCACCCACAAAGCGCAGACAGAGGATGATGGTAGTCCAGAGCGCCAACTAATCCTGTTCATCTTTACTTCTGTCTTGTCCTGTTAAAGAGAAAGTTACTGTGGGTAAATGTTAAGGCAGAACAGGGTAGGTATGGATCTGGGATGACCCAGACAGAGGAGAGAGAGAGAGAGAGAGAGAGAGAGAGAGAGAGAGAGAGAGAGATCAAAATATCCAAGTTCCCCCTTTTTAAAACAATGTTTTTTATTTAATCCCTCATGACTAATTATAAACACAATCTTTCTAAAAACCCATTTTAAATTATCATTATATTTTAAAGTAGATTCTTCTCACCTGGTCAACCCGCCTTTCTTAGCGCACAGAACAGTTTACTCGCTGCCCTGGTAACTACTTGGGTAACACAGAACAGTGGCATCAGCCAGCTCTGTTGTAAATCATTCCCCGGTCACCACCACCATTAGGTGAGAGGGTGGGCAGGAGAACACTGCGGGAGTTTTGACAAGTGCACCACACGGTGCTCAGCTGTATTGTCTGCTTTTGACTTCTGTGTTCTGAACCAAGGGAAGCGTGAGTTTCTTTCACCTGGTTTTAAAACTAAGTCTCAAATCTCTCCCTCCAGGGTCTGTTTACAACGTCTAGAGAGGGACCAGCATGCATTCTTCCTCCAGAGGAACTGCCAGTTGTTCTCCTTGGGGAAACTCTCAGCGGCGTAAGGAAGAACATCGTGTTTCTGGGGCTAGGCTGGAGTAGTGGGGACAGGAATTCTGAATTGAAGTCAGTGTGCACAGATTCTTTATCTTACTCCAGGATGAATTAGAGTGTTTAAGGCTTTGTGGGACCTTTAGTAAAGATAGCTTCCCCTGAAATGAAGCCATCACCTGTCAGTTCTCTTATGACCTCTCGGGAGCAAGGTGATCTGCTCAAGACAAATGAATATTTAACACTAAGTGACAACAGCATGATCCCTCTTACTGTATGCTAATGAGGTCACCTTAAAGATGTCCCTCCATCATGAGCTTCATTTCACACACCAGTGCAATACCGGCTTCTCTGTGAAGAAAGCTGAGCTAAAGATTTTTTTTCTAGAATTTCAAAGATATAACACAACACTGGTAATGTCACGTACTTGGGGCTTTAAAGGTTGAAGCCCCAAGTTCCTCTTGAAGCAATAACTCTTGAGATCCCAGGATGGTGGTAAACATGTGTGTGACCACACATGTGCATACATAGGTGATGATGGAAGTTACAAAATAATTCCACACTAGCTCAAAATTGAGCATAATAAAGGGCTTTTTATTTAGGAGTAGACACACAGATAACAGACATCTGCATGAATGGGAAACAAGAACCAAATTCAGCAACCAGAAGAGAAAGCAACTGTACGCTCTACTTCAGCATAGTATAAGAGGCCACGCCCAAGTGGGCTGCTATCTTAAAGGCTACTGGCTGAAGGAGTTACCATAGGACATAGGTGTGTGTGTCTCTGTGTGTGTGTGTGTGTGTGTATACGTACATGTATATACATATACATTATATATAATATGTATGCATATACAATGCGCATATTCTAATTTTATATAATATATTTAATATATAATCTCTAATTTTCTCAAACATGTTTAAGATATGGTTATCCCTATTTCAAAACTGCTAGAAAATTAGAAATTGAAAATTTTAAAGTCTTCCACTTCTTGCTGACAATGTAGCTTAAACCAGGAGTTCTAGCTAGAATGACCTCATTCTGAAACCTTTCAATGTTTGACCTTTGCTGTCCACAGTCGGAGATGCAATCACATGCTATAACACTTGAGCTGCAGTTTGTTCAAAGTGTAGTTTTTACACCTGTCAGAATGGCGAAGGTCAAAAAATCTGATGACAGCTTATGCTGGAGAGGATGAGGAACAAGGGGAGCACTCCTGCATTGCTGGTGGGAGTGCAAACTTGTACAGCTGCTTTGGAAATCAGTACAGCAGTTTCTCAGAAAATTAGGAATCTATCTACCTCAAGACTCAGTTATACCACTCTTGGATATACCCAAAGGATGCTCAATCATACCACAAGGACATTTGCTCAACTATGTTCATAGAAGTATTATTCATAGTAGCCAGAGCCTGGAAACAACTTAGATTCCCTTCAACCAAAGAATGGATAAGGAAAAGTGGTACATTTACACAATGGAGTACTACTCAGCGGTAAAAAAAAAAATCACATCTTGAAGTTTGTAACAAATGGACAGAACTAGAGAGTCATTCTGAAAGAGGTATTCCAGATCCAGAAGGACAAACACAATATGTACTCACTCATAAGTAGATGATAGACATAAAACACAGCACTACCCCAAAGAACCTAGACAACAAAGAGGACCCTAAGAGAGATATACATGGATCTGCCTAGAAAGGAGAAGAAAGTCTCCTGAGTAAATTGGGTTCGTGGAGGAAAGGAGAGAGAGTGGAAGGGGAAGAGGGGAGGAAGGAAAAGGAGTAGGAAAAACTTATAGCACAATCCTATCTAAACAATTAAAATGAGAAGAACAAAAAAAAGATTCATGCAAAAGAGTAAAGCATTTACTAATCATTTTTATGTTAATCAAAGAAGATATTGCAATAGTTGAGTAAAATAGAATGTATCTCTCAGATCGGCTTCACCTTGTACCCATGTGGCTTTGGCACTAGAAAGCTTAAATGACCTCATTTCACTTGTAGTTTGAGTTTTGTTTCTCTGGGCAGCAAGGCTGAAGGCAACATTACATGAAAAAGGTGTGTGAAATAGATTATACCTTACCCAAAGTCAGTGTCTGAAAATGTTTACTGAAATTAAAAATCTCTTTTAATGGTAACAGTTAATACAGTCTTTTAATTAACTCAGAGGATACAAATTAACTTAGTAAATTTAGTTATTGCTTTTTAAATTACCCTAAAGCAAGGGTCTACAATATTACTCTGTGAAGTTTGGTTCTAAATATTTTAATTCACATTAATAAACCACATTAATAAGCTACTATTTTTATAATGACATTGTTCCCATTGCTTGAGGGGGAAAGAGGAAAAAGAAAGAAAAAGACAATAGCCACCTACAGAGAAACTGCAAGATCCAGGGTGGAATTAAGTCAATGAACTTGTAGCAAATGTACGTGGGGTAGATGACAATGTCATTCATTCTTCCCATAGTGATATTCCAAGCACAAGGAGAACACCAACCATTTCGTAGAGACTAGAAATTGTTATAAAAGCTCTTATAATTGAAGCAGCATCATTGAAATCCTTATGGTATTTCTCCTTTCCTTTATTTACTTCAGTGTAGAAGGAGATAACGTCACAAGGTATGAAGCCAATGTTTCCCTCATTTCTTCTCCTTTAATCAGGATGTCAGCCTTTGTGTATTCTTTATCCTTTGTTTATACAACATACATAGGTTGTGACGTTATCAAATTTCTTTCAATTTCCTAGTTTAAAAAAAGCATGGAATTGAAGGGGTCTCTGGTTTCTTTGCACAAATATGTTAAACTGACCCAAGGATGCTATTTATCAGAGAAGCCAGGGATGCACCTGAACACCCACTGCCTTAATCTGGCATTTCATCTTTATCTTTATATAATAATGCCACTTTGATTACTAGACCCCTTCCCTGCACTATGACAGGTGTAACATACTGCTGTCATTTAAGGAATGGTTAGCTCATTTGCTGTCACCTTCTAACTCTTCTTTTAAAATAATCTTTAGTCTTCAGACATGCCAGCATTTTTATTTGCTTTGTGTTCTGATATTTTATTTATTTATTTGAAAAATGACATCGAATTTTAGTTTAAGTAGAAAACTAGAGCTATTTAAAACTTCTAGTACAATAGTATCCTATAACTTGGAGTGCCTATCAAAAGTTTTTTATACAAATGCCTGGGGATATATATGGGAATTATATAGAATACTAGATGTACGTCCTACTAAACCACTAAGATCCCTAAGCCACTGCAGTTCTCAGTGATAAACACTAGGAAAGTTACTTAGCTTTGTTCAAATACACATTGCATATCTTTTATGACTATGAAGAACTAAGAATTTGGGGGTTGCAAAACCTTATTGCTTTATAATAATCTTAGATAAACTAACATTGACATCAGTATTATTTTAATCAAGACTTTCAAAGCACTTTCTTCAGAACTGTGAATTCTATTTAGTTGCCACTTAATAAGGTTTTGTGTTTTTAAAATCTACCTATTTTATGACTTTTAAGTTTAAATGTTATTTAATACATCATCTGTCTTGACAATTCTTGCACAGACTTTTCTGATTTCTTTGTCAGAGAATATTCTAGGTTGTCATGTGCTATTCTATGAAGTTTCTAATGTACACTGTTTAGAAGCTAGTAATGTAGGTCAATGTAGTCTTCAGAGACCTATCCCCCTGTGTCATATTTCAACATCCAGGAGGGACGGCGTACCTACCAGATGAAGAACCAAGTGTTTATTTACTGTGGTTTGAAGGGAAACTTTCCCCCTTTTCAAATGAGATCTAATACAGGATAGTTAACGTCTGCAGCAGAGGAGAAGAAGAAAAAACATAGTGGAAAAAGTCTTCCCTTATCCAACATATGTCATATGGGAAGTGGGACAGACTAGGAAGGAAGGAAGGACGTCTATGATCCAATATTCCAGGACTAGAACATTTCCATCTTCATAGTGGCACAAGTGGCAGTTTTCACGTATGATAGAGGAAGACGTTAGAACCACATCAGCAGCAGGTGGCAGGCAGGCGCTGGGGCAATAGCTGAGAGTTTATACACATATCTACAGACAAGAGGGAGAGGAGAGTACCGAGGTTTATCTCAGGATTTAGAAAGATTGCTATTTAAGGCAAAAGCTGGCTAAAGGTAAATGAGGGTAAACAAATTAACTCACATAAGTCTTTTTATCATGTACCATTTATTATTTCTATGCTCTAATGCTCTCTTGATGTTCCTCCTTTAATGTTCCTCACTATTCTCCTCATTGCACAAGGTTTCCAGTTTATGTATCCATTTTATAAACAGTAACAATGGTACCAAGCATACGTTTCTTTGGGCTAATAAGATGGATAAAAGACTGACA